ATAAAATCTTCGTTCGAAGCGCCGTTATAGACAGAAACAATTAAATGACCAGATTGCAGCTCGTATTATTGGCGCATATCATTATTTTTATCAATTGTTGACAAAAATAAGATAAACTGCTATCTTATCTTACTTTGGTGAGAAAGAATCGGTGTGAATGTTATTATTAAATACTATTAGCACAACAGGCGTGGACACGTTGAATTAAGAAGAAAATAAATTTATCTCACTACGGTATGTTTATTTCCATAGAATATGAAGTGCAATTTGCTTTTCAGCTGCAGCTAATTTCATTAAAAAGCATAGCATTTATTGATGTAAAAGGATTGGTAGAAAAAAACATATTATTCAAACTTCAAGTTCCCGATTCAGTTTTTTTCCTCGACCAAATGAGTTTTTATTCCTTTCCACTTTGGATTTTTTACGCCAATTCAGACTATAAATTATGCCTTTCGATGTTAGTCCTACACTTTGCGCAAACTTACGACCCAAAGTAACATGAATCAGGTAGGACTCTAAAGGGAAGTTAAAATAATTCGAAAGTCCATCCGAATCGCTGTATTATTTAAGTCACTTCAAACATTTCTTTGGCAAACATTTTAAGGCAGATATGATAGAGAAATAATAAACTTTTCTGTTCACGGCCCTTTTCTAGAATGGCTCACTCGAAAGATGATGCTGTTATTTACGACTACATTGTCATTGGAGGTGGTACAAGTGGTGCAGTCGCAGCTCGGCGTTTGGCAGAAAGAAGTGCAACCTTTAGTGTGTGTCTTCTTGAAGCAGGCCCCAGGTTTGTTAGTTTGTATCCTATTTCGTTATCTTAGGCGGCGAATTGTTTTGTGATAGTCACGAAGGTATAGTCAATAGTCAGATGCCTGGCGGTCTGCTATCAATGTTCAAGACTCCATACGACTGGGACTATGTTACCGTTACTCAAAAAGGATGCAATAATCGTATTATCTCTGCTCCACGAGGTCGTTTTCTCGGTGGTTGTAGTGGAATGAATGGTACACTGCTCATCCGAGGTGCCAAAGCAGACTATGACCGAATTGCAGAAATGGGAAATCCAGGATGGAGTTGGGATGAAATGTTACCTTATTTTAAGGCGTCTGAGACGTTTCATCCAGCTGAATGGCACCAAGCAGACTTGACTGCCCATGGTACTGATGGACCTCTGCACACCGAGCCGTATTCTCTTGCACCCATCTCTGAAAAAGTTCTTGAATCATTTATTAACAGCGGCTTTGATTACAAACCAGATATGTTTGTACAGGGTGATTATGAAGGTTTGTTACTTTCAATTCCTGCTACGACACTGTTCTCAAAATTTTTTAGGTGTTGGACATGCTGTGCGTACAGTTCACAAGGGTATCCGAAGTACAAGTGCGAATTTCGTTCATAATTACGAGAAAACAAACCTCATAGTTAAAACAGGTGTATATGTAGACAGAATCATTTTGGAAAATAGTAATAAGGAAGGACGCAAATACAAGGCAGTCGGTGTGGAAGCGCATGACAATACAAGCGGTCAACTGATAATAATTAAAGCAAGAAAGGAAATTATTCTAAGTGCTGGGTATGACAGAAAAAAAATATCGTCGAATTTTCTTGAGTGTAGAATTTTTTTTAATAACGCTTTTTCCGAGGAAATGTCTAACATAAGAGTTTATCGTTTCTAAACGTTCTCATAGTAAAAACACTGAGCAGCAATTCTTCCAGTCGTTTGATCTTTTTCTTCAACAAAACCCATCGTTTCAACTTATTGTCCTATGCCAAATGGGTTCAGGTTAGATACTGATTTGAAAAGCTCAATCGATGCAGGTTCATACACACGGTTTCCAACTATAGTCAACTGCTTTCCTTTTATTAGAAAGCCCCATTTTGATGAAGAATGTAAAATACGTATGAGAAAAGCATGATTATGTACAAAAAGTTTTTACGTGTACATCTTTATTACTAAAAATGATAACTCGTCAACGATTCAATCTTGTTGTTATGTCCTACTGATTTCTTTAAGAATTGTGCAGAATCGAATACTATCAATATACCATTCAATAGAGTAAATAAATGTCCCCAAAGTACAATATTTTGTCACTTCGCATGACCGGTGTCAAAGAACCATATTGCGAGAGAGAAAAACGAATTTTTCGGAGCTCAGGGTTTCAAATCGATTCAAAATTCAGAGATCCTGAAATCCAAAATAGCATGTCAATGTATCTGTCACTATCTGTGATGGAGCCTAAAACCAGCATGTCGTACTTGTTGTTTTAGTCTATGGTGCGGAGCTGAGGATGAAATCCATTTTCTCGCTATATACTTCGCCGATTAATAATTGTGTTTTATAATAGTAGAAAATAGTTTTGTCAAAAAAACTTTTCAGCGTAATCTTTGCGGGATTAAAATGTGTAGGAGACGATGTCAGATCAAGTGAATATAATAAGAGAAAGTAAAAAAAGTCTTGAGGATGAGAAATGCAAGGAGCGAGCTGAAAAAAATGAAGAAACAATAAGAAAATCATTTGCAAATATCAACCATAAGTCTGTTAGAACTCCAATTGATAAACAGATACTACATATAAGAAAATTTTTTAAAATTTATCCTTCATTTTACTATATAACTTTCTTTTCCTTTCTTTTAGGAAAGGAAAGTGAAAGCGTCACTTCTAACGAAAGATCAGTACAATACATTTCATACATTATTTCTGAAAGATTCAGACGCCTACAAAGAAACTAGAACGACTGTAATTAATCGTTACCAGAGGACTCCTTATGCATCCCGGACTACCAGAAAAGTGGTCAAATGGAATGTATTGCACTGATCTGAAGTCAAGAACAAGAAACATTTCCTCGCCCAAGTGTATCGGATATGAGATCGGTTGGAATTTTTTCCAAACCGAACCGGTTCCATCTTTGAAGTGTATAAGATTTTTCTGAAGACTTTCTACAGTCCATCTAGTGCACTTTGAGAACTTGACTGTAATGTTTATTAATCATGTAAACTGATTGCATAGTTGAAATTGTGTTTGTTCAAAAAGTTTTGACTTCCGCACTGGGATTATTAGGATAAAAGGTGGGCACAGTGTTTAAAGGACTTTGACTCGTTCCTCAAATGAATTTGCACGAACTGATATTTCTAGCAGAACTGTATTACATTGTTAGTCAATTATTAATATATTTCATTTTTCAAGACTGTTTTCATATGCGCAACAAATCATCTTGTTTTAGCGCTTATAACTCCCCGACGGTCTTGATGCATTCTGGTATCGGTCCGAAAGAACATCTCGCCGAAATGGGCATCAGTTGCAAGATCGATTTGCAAGGTGTAGGCAGTAATCTTCAAGATCACATCTATGTATGAGTAGTCATTCTCAGCTCACCTATGCAATAAATAATGTAATCGTTCAGGTTCCTACGTATTATGAAGTGAACGACCCAAGTCTCACACTCGATCGGTTCGTCTGTCACAGTTTAGGCGCTCTACAATCATCGATCAACCAATGGATTGACATCAAAACAGGAGTGATGGCAGGAGTCCCAGTTGGTCCCGTTGCTCTAAAACGAATCGACAAGACGATTCAAGATCCTGTTTGGCAAGCTGCACAATCCAAGAAGCAAATCGATGATCCATCAGATTATGATCCGACTGGACAGCTACCAAATCAGCCTCACATCGAATTCTGCACTGTTGAAATGTGCTTTGTTATACCAGACTCTCTACGACCGGGTTAGTCGATCACGTTAAAACGCTCTTAAAAGGATATGAAGAGATCAAATTATTTATTATAGCATTTTTGTTCTATCTGTACGACAAAATAAGACTGGTGTTATGAATTTTCCATCAAAATAGATCCGTTCACAAATTAGCTAAATGAAGGACTATGAATCTGCATAGTCGAAACTAAACGTATTTTAAACTTCTCTACTGTTGAACAAATAGAAATAAACTGCATATATCTAGCGATACAAAGAATATCTAGTTCAGAGTATAAAAATGTTTTTTTCGATGAATCCACAGATTTTAGACAACTCGAAATAGAGTGAAATATAATATTCATAAGGTCGTACAATCGTATTATTCGATACAGTTCACTATGCAGCTATTGCCGTGAATGTAATTACTATTTTCTAGGACAAATTTGTGTCAGGTTTCAGCTACTAGCATGATCAGCTTTGCAATTTTTTAAATTGATAAATGCTGGTAATTTTTAGTATAGGGAACCGAATATTGTAGTGGAGTTCATTCCTACCCACGTCGAGAAATCCGATCATTGAGTCTTGTCGGATTCCGATCTCTTCCGATCGGATTCTATTGAATTGAATTCAGAATCCAGTGACCCAGAATTCGACCAACAGTTGATCGGGACAGGACCCATGTAAAAAAATTGCCTCAATAATCACAAAAAATCTGATTTTTAATCGATTATAATCAATTTGAAACAAATAAACGATTTTTTTGTGATTATTTCTGTGTAAATTATTGATTAAGAATCGTATGATTATAATCGATTAAAAATCAGATTTTTTGTGATTATTGAGGTAATTTTTTTTTACATGGGGCTTGGGTCGAATTTTAATCGCTAGAGTTCTATAGTTGTGTTGCTTCCGATTCACTATCATTTATTTAATATATATTAAATAATTAGATTTATGACGCCAATGATAAAAATATACCGTTTACCATACCTATACCGTAATATGTGTATCATCAGGCTTATATCCCTATCTTTATACCTAATGCCTATACCCTTACACTTGTACTCTTGTAACTATACCATTTTGCTTATATCCTATTGATTATACCCATACAATTACGGTCTTAAACCTGCACATCTATAGAATGAGCTAAAATTTTGGGTACTTGATAGCAGAATTTCTTTTTCTTTTTTTTATTGCAAATCACAAAAGGCACAAAGTGTAGCACATAATATGTTGCAATTAGATTAATAGTATCCTGTTTTTTTATAAATCTAACCGTATCTCTATGGAAGATATATGACTTGTAGTATGGAGAATATTTCTTTCCACATGACTGTAAAATATAAAAGGTAACAGAGATTTAGCTGAATGAAACCATGAAAATAAAAGTGATAGAAACACAATAAAATGAAGAAATGTTGAAAAAGTAATGTTGAAAGTTTAATTAAATGTCTGTAGTATATTTAATGAAAGATTTTCATTTCTAATTGGTTGTATATCAAAGTATGGGCATTGCTAATCATTTATCTTCCATTTCGATGAACCCTTTTTAACATTTTCGCTTTTTTCAACTTTACATTCAACACTTTCTTTTTGAAATATTAGAGAAGAAAAACGAAAATGTAAGAATGTTGAAAAGAAAGTTTTGTTTTGATATGGAAAACACTCGACTAGTAATGATACTGAAACTGGATGAATTATATACTGAAAAATACTATAAGGTTTTATCAATAGACTAGGTCATTTCACCAACAAAAAAAAGACTATGTATACTAACATAAAAATATAAATTATAGTATTTTTTGATATCATATTTTTGATAAAAACTAATTCTTCGAGATACCTTTTTATGAACAAAATTGTATTTAGTCATGCCAAAGAAATCTTCTCTATAGTATGAGCTATATCTCTTGTCCCATAGGTATGGCTAGAGTTATGAAAATTTATCGTACTATTCATCTAATTGCAACACAGTACATGTCCCACTTTGAGTCTGTTCAGATGTGTAATTAAACACAAAAAGAAATTTTCCTAGCTTAAGTATCAAAACTTAGTTCACCTAGTAAGTAAGATGACACAATATTGAACCTCATTCGAAAGTAAAACAATAAACGCAAGATACTTGGCTTGTAATCAATGAACAGTTGAGAAGAACTATTGTCAGATAATTTTACTGGGTCAGGCGAAGCACACAAGTACGAATAGCAGAAGGATACCATAATGAAAAGAGAACGCTGATCATTTCTCTTTGGACCAGTACAGTCAACAGATTATGATATAGGCATTCTTTTTTTGTCTGAATACATATTGAAAATGTATGCTGATTAGATGGGAAATATTTTATGCTTATTTATCACGATATTGAGCGTTCAAGTCATGCATTGAGTTAACTCTTTATAAGGCTATTCTCATACAACACTCTAATCAATTTGATGCTCTGGTTCTTATTTTGGAAGCAAGATTAATTTTCAGCATAAGAATTCATCCGGTATCAATTGACAAATAGTGCTCCGATAACCTTTTGGTAACATTTTATCTCCATCCTGGCGAATTTCTTGTATGCCTCAGCTCACACTTCGTGGAGTCTGCAAAAATATCTTCTATCAGAAATAAATTTTTATACAGATTATATGTTGTACTCCAATCCAATGACCACCTTCTCGGAACCGGATGAAATCGAAGAGATTCCGACAACTGAATCCTATCAGATCTGTTCCTCGGATTTCATCGGAATCCGTTGGAAATTATGGCAATCAACTGAGGTCCGGTCGGATTCCGACAATCGAAATTCCATCGAATTCAGTCATCGGAATTCATCGAATGGAGACAGATCCGACAGAATCCGATGATGCACTTTTGGTCTGGTTAGCAGCTTAGTCGCAAAAAAACACGATTTTGGAGTTCTTAGTATTAGACGAAGAGTCATTTTTCTTGTCTTGAAAAATTTTTGGGTTGGTACGAGCGCGAATTGTTAGCTGAATATTCCATAAGTTTTAGTTTTTCACGATACGATTCTTGGCTTTCTAGACGGACTGCCATACGATCCAGTGAACGACGAAGGCGTCTTTACATTGTTCACTATTCTGTTTGGACCACAAGCGAGAGGTACCGTACGACTCTCGTCCAATAACCCAACAAGTAAGCCAATAATCGATCACGCCTATCTTGCCAATGATCTTGACGTGGCTGTGCTTGCTGAAGGTTGTCGAATCGGTGACGAAGTGTTAATGAAAGGTCGGGGAACGAAAGATATAATTGTGGGCATGTGGCCAAAGGGAATCTCCCATCCAAAGGATATGACCAGTTGGAAAGAGTACGTACGAGCATGTGTCAGTACCTGCTTTCATCCGGTGGGTACCTGCAAAATGGCATCTGACAGTGATCCTATGGGTGTGGTAGACAGTCGTCTCTGTGTGCGGTACGTTGAAGGTTTGCGGGTGGCAGATGTGTCCATTCTACCGTTGATCAACAATGGCCATACGCAGGCACCTGCATATGCCATTGGCGAAAAAGTGGCTCATATGGTTTTACAAGACTCTGGTGTTGTAAGTTAGTGCCGTGCAATTCATATGGTGGAACATTCACTTATATGTCTAAAAACCCGTTCTCCGTATTAAATCGTCATAATCAGATGAATCTTTTATTGTAATCATTTGACCTTGTCACTAATTAATTCCTTAATTTCAGGAGATATTCGAGAACTATAATAAATAACAAGTAGCGTTCATCCGATATCGATTCATTTAACGCTAGACTGAAGCACTGATAAAAAACTAAAGAGTTGTTTGGACAGATCATCATTGGTTGTATGAGTAGGTAGATCGAGTTTTTGATCATTGTTGGAGAACATTTTTCGAAATACGTTCTTTTGACATTTATTATTTGATAAATTTTCTTGGGGTATGGGTATGGGTGTGAGTATGGGTGTGGGTGTGGGTGTAGATGTGTGGGTATAGGTGTGGATAGGTGTGCGTGATGGGTAGTTGATGGTGGGTGTGGGTGTGTCGGCGAGTGTGGCTCGATGTGGGTGCGGATGTGGGTGTGAGTGTGGGTGGAAGTGTAAGAACAGCGCAGATATACAACCACGCACATCTACACCCACACCCACACTCACACCCATCCACATCCACTCACACTCACACCAATCCACACACAACAATGAAGCAATTAGATGAAAAGCGGTGAACTATCCAAAATCTGAATGCTTTACACAATGGTGGACATCATATGTTTTACGCTTGCAGTAAAATGATAGTTGTACGAATTTTTCGCATATTGATATTATTTAGTAGAGATAAAATCTACATGCAATTTAGACATAAATCAATTTTGATCAAATGAATTTGTTTGATTGTGAACGACAACGATCTTATTTTGAACGAACAAATCAAAGATTACAAAGAAAAATATCAGTTGATATAACAAGAGAAAAAATTCTTGAATTTCGACGTATTCAAGTTTTTATTTAATTTAATTTTTATTTAATTTAATTTAATTTTTATTTAATTTAATTTTTATTTAATTTAATTTTTATTTAATTTAATTTTTATTTAATTTAATTTTTATTTAAATAATAATAAAGAATAATATTTTCTCTAGGAACAAATGGATATGATGCGTGATATATCATCTTATTGTTTAAAAGTCGTTGAACTTCAACGAATATTATCTGATTTGGATATTTTTATATCGAATCTTCCTATAAATATAAATAAAACAACATCAAATGATATAATTCATACACTTACATATGAACAAACTTCAGATTTTATTCCAAAAAAAAAACAAAAAGAAACAAATTCAATTATAAGGCAACAAGAAAAACGTATTAAACAATTAAGAAAAACTATTCAAATAATAGGAGAATATTTACGAAAAATATCTTCTCTATCTTCTGCCGATTTATCATATTGTATTCAGTCTTCAGTTTTCATTGATCAACCAACAATTATTTCATCAAATTCAATTCATTCTCAGCAAACATCAACTATTGTTCAAAAATCTTGACTATCTCTTCTTTTGTTTAATTCTTTATAAATAAATTAAAAATATCTTTTCTTTAACGATCTTGATATGTCTAACATATTTTTCGACTTAAATTCAAAGAAGATTTTCATAAAAAATTTCATTTATTCATTGAAATCTATCATTTATAATACTATAATGTCAAATGAAGAAAATCACTTGATCAAACTTATTATCAATTTTAGTTAAAATTGTTCACTTCATCAACAAATCTCTGTTGCTCATTTTAACAATCAGATGTTAAGAGAATAATGTAGACATTCTTATTTCTATTATTAATAATTAAATTTTTCAATAGAATTAATTGATATTGACATGTTAGTCTATAAAATACTTGATAGAAATCAACATACTAATTTGTATGTATGTGTTTGCATT